GTAAAAAATTATATACAGCTGATTTGATAAATGAAAAGATGAATATTAGTAGTTTTTTTGAAGGTCTGCAAAAGCTTGATGAAGAGAGCAATGAAAGTTTGCAAAAACCTTTGACAGAGCAAGAACTTTACACAGCAATGATGAGTATGGCGAATGGGAAATCCCCCGGGATCGACGGGTTACCCATTGAATTTTATAAAACTTTCTGGCCCATTTTAAGAGAAGATCTCTTATTAGTGTTTGATGAAAGTCTTATTAATGGGTTTCTCCCTCTCAGTTGCAGAAGGGCAGTTATCACTCTATTGCCCAAAAAAGGTGATCTTCAAAATATAAAAAATTGGAGGCCTGTATCTCTCTTGTGCAAAATCCTGTCCAAAACTTTGGCTACAAGATTGAGTAAAATTATAGGGAAGGTGATGCACTACGATCAAACATATTGTATACCAAACAGATCAATTTGTGATAATATTACTCTAATCAGAGATGTTTTGGAAGTTTCAAAGTTGTAAATATTGGCCTTATTTCTTTGGACCAAGAGAAGGCCTTTGATCGGGTTGACCACCTGTATTTGTGGAATACTTTGCAAGCTTTTGGGTTCAATTCAAGTTTTATTGATATGATCAGAACAATGTATTGTGAAATTGAGAGTGTGATCAAAATTAATGGTAGTTTGTGTGCCCCCTTTACTGTACAGAGAGGGGTTAGACAAGGCTGTGCCATGTCTGGGCTATTATATGTGCTGGCTATAGAACCATTGCTTTTTATGTTACGGAATAAGTTAAAGGGTCTAACGTTGCCACAGTGTAATAATGCTTTTTATTTATCTGCATATGCTGATGAGGTTATTGTTTTTATAAATGATAGCAATGATGTTGAAATGTTAAAAGAAGTTGTTAATGATTTTAAGGAGATTTCTTCAGCAACTGTAAATTGGAGGAAAAGTGATGCTTTACTGATTGGAAAATGGGAAGGAGGGAATCCTACTCTACCAGGAGGCTTATTATGGCAAAAAGATGGGTTAAAATATCTTGGTGTGTTCTTAGGCAATGAAGGTTTCATGCAGAAAAAACTGGGAAGGAATGGCAGATAAAGTAATAGGACGTTTGAAAAAATGAAAATGGCTTCTTCCACAGCTGTCTTTTAAAGGACGCACACTCATTATTAACAATCTCGCGGCTTCTTCCCTCTGGCATAGACTTGCATGCGTTGATCCTCCTGTCGGTCTCTTACCGAAAATTCAAGCGGAAATTGTGAACTTCTTTTGGGACAATTTGCACTGGATCCCGCAAAGTGTTTTGTTCCTGGCAAAAGAAGATGGAGGCCAAGGTCTAGTGCGTTTGGCTAGTAGATGTGCTGCTTATCGTCTTCAGTTTGTGCAGAAGTGTATGCTGGGATCTGAAAGACTGGTGTGGAGACCAGTGGCTCAGTGCATTTTACGCAGAATAAGTGGACTCGGCCTGGACAATGTTTTGTTTTTAATGGATTCCAAAAAATTCGATTTTAGAGGAATTCCTGCTTTTTATCGAAGTCTTTTTTTAAATATGGAGTCTGTTTAAACCTCAATGGATGGAACCATTAATGTCGCTGTACTGGTTATTGGAAGAGCCCATCGTATCTGGGGATGAAATACCGGGTCTGAAATATTTGTTGTACAGAAGTGGATCTCTACAGTTAAAACACATTATAAGAAATGCAGGTCCTGAATTTAAAGATGCAGAAGCAGTTTCAGCCTTTTTAAAGGTAAAATCTGAGCGATATGTTAAACGTTTTTTAGATAAACTACAGGGGGCTTTAAATGTACAAGAAAAGAGTACAACAAGAAATGTATATTTCCAGACTGCGAAGATTTTTTTTCCAGATTTAAGTATTGTACCTGATCTTGTTTCATTTAACAATATTAATCCCTGGATGAAAAAGGACATTGATGTGCAAATTGATTTTTTTGAAGCTAAAGGGAAAGCATTGTACAGAAGTCTTGTCAAAGTGATGAATTTAAAATGGTTAAAGAATAGAAGTGATACTGTATGGAGAGACACGTTAGAGATTACTGAAACAACAAAACCAGTGTGGAGGATTCTGTACAAACCTCCCTTACCTAAAAGAGTTGGTGATCTTCAGTGGAGGATACTCCATGTGGCTATTGCAGTTAATTCTTTTGTGGCAATGTTAAACCCAAATGTAAGTGAGAATTGTCCTTTTTGCAATGAAAGGGAGACTGTGTTTCACTGTTTTATGTTTTGTAATAGACTTTCTTTTTTGTTTAGCCTTTTAGAGCTTCTTTTTGAATCTTTTGAGGTGTGTTTTACAAAGCAGGATTTTATACTTGGTTGTATGTACACTGTTAAGAAAAAATACAAATGTCAATTGCTTAATTTTATTGTTGGTATTGCAAAATTAGCTATTTATATAACTAGGAGAAATATTGAACAGAAAGGAGAACAAGAACTTATACCAGCTTTCAAAAAAATGGTAAAATCACGACTTGTAATTGAGTTTAATTTTTACAAACTAATGAGTACATTGAGTATTTTTGAAATTGAGTGGTGCTGCAATAATGTGCTGTGTTCATTAGTTGATAATGAACTGGTTATTTCGGAAGTGTTGATGTGAGTTTTTTTTTAGATGTGAAAATATGTGGCCTTTTTTTGTGAATGTCTTTGATTGTCATATTTGTGTAATAAAGGATTGTCAAAATTCAAAAATTCTCTCTCTCTCTCTCTCTCTCTCTCTCTCTCTCTCTCTCTCTCTCACACACACACACACACACACACACAGGCAAAACAAAAATCCACTTTATGTCTCCTTTCAATCCTGTCAATTTACAGACTCTTTTTGCATTATAGATATTCCCCTCTCTCTCTATCTGTAATAAACTGTAAGCACATGTTCATAAGGGGGACTGTAGAATCTATACTACAATTAACACTATCACAGGCTCTTTCTCTCTCTTATATATACCGGCAGCCTAATCAATACAGTAATTAACAGTGTAAATAAAAGTCATAAGCGCAGTCAGAGACTCATTCAGCCCAGAATAAACCGCTGGTCACACAAGAACTGAAAGGTTAAGTGTGTGATTTCTGTGGCACTGAAGCCACAAAACAGAACTGCAAAAAGAATATATATATATAAAATATAACTGCAAGCAGTGATTGCGGGGCCAAACACCTTTTGACCGTATTTGACATATTTGGATTTAATTTGGAAACTTATTAAACTTTGCAAAATTCCCATTGTTAAACAGTTGCAACATATCGAATTATTAGAAAATCTTGAAAGCTATAACCTTTCTTAAACAGCATGGTTGGTTATAATTTTATCGAGACTTGAGTTGTTTAAGGTAGAATTGCAGCAATTGGCTCCAAATTACATAACATTACACAATTTTCTGAAGATGTATAACATGAGAATTAAACCCATAATATCTGGGTCAGGTGTTTGTTACTCATCCCTTTGTGCCACTGAGAAGACACACACGGGCTAATGTCTGTAGTTCAAGCGAAAATAACCTCAACATTTTTATTATTTTTAATATGAATTTGCTGCATGTTATATTTCTGGAATTCCTTTCTCAGACAGACACCACGTCTAGAACTGAAACGACTTTTCCACCACTTAAGGCCGCAGTACCTCTTGCGGTCTGGGCATGTGCCACACGGGATTCAAACCCACGACCGCAATGGTTCGGGATTCGTGACACATGGTTTAGCAACTTGCGCCACACTTAACGCGATTAGCATGCTAAGCTAGCTCAATGCTAATGTAGCTCATGACTTGTTACATCCAATCATGGCAAAATAGATATCCTCGGATTCAACATGACGCAAGGAATTGATAGACACCTATTTTATGATTTTGTGACAAACTGTTCACAAGTTACAGCCTCTGAACCAACTCTCGGTCGACCTTGTTAAATTTGCGACATCATAACTTTTTTTTCTATAAAAAAAAAAAAATGAGATGAAATATATACAGTATATATATATATATATATATATATTAATTAGAGCCGGGACTTAAGTTAATTAAGATTAATTAATTACAGACTTTAACTCATTGCATGGTTGTGTGCAAGCTATGCAACAAGGAATTCGCATATCACATCGACCCTCAAGTTTCACCTCAACAAAACATATACAATTGCACTAATCTGCTGGACTTGGTTGAACAAAAATAAACAATATTTTGTTGCTCAAGCTTAAGTATTCAGTCATTATTCAGTGGTATGGACCATTTTGCAAGATGTAAACAACACTGGTCCAGAAGCACTTCCTGTTTCAGTTTTTTAACACTACATAAAAGCTGGGATAAAATACAACCAACAGAACATATAAAACTAAATCAAAAATTTAAACAAACATCTTTAAGATGTTTTCTTTACGTGTTAAATAAAGAAAAGTTACAAACAGAAACAGGACGTGTTTCTGGACCAGTGTTGTTTACATCTTGCAAAATGGTCTATACTAAAAATCCATGTGAAAAAAAAAAATCTTCTCACTGTTCTCAGTTCAAATATTTATGCAATTAAAATGCGATTAATTAATTACAAACCCTCTAATAAATTAGATTTTTTTTAATCGAGTCCCGGCCCTAATATATATATATATATATATTATAAACAAAAAATGTTAATATATATATATATATATATATATATATTAACATTTTTTGTTCACAATATTCACTTTAATAAGCCAATCTGGGCAATGTTACTTTCCTATACTGCTGATTGTAGTGAAGCTTTTAAAGTGGTGAAAATGTTGTTTATGTGTGTATGTGGTGTTATTAATGTGCTTTAACACACACCATGTGTAAGTTCATAAGTGGACAGCATTGCTGAGTATTTCCTCTTCAGTGAACCAAAGACAGTCTCAAAAGCTGGTGTTTCTGACGTCACAAACAACCTTGTAACCAATCAGATCAACGTCTGATCATGTGAGTGAGTGAGTGTGATCGTGTGAGTGAGTGAGTTCTGTCATGCAGACAGAAACGGGTCTTACGAGTGCAGGGTGCGGACGGAGGGTCCAGCGGGGTCCTGAAGTGATCGTCCTCACACACACACACCACAGAGCCTTCTTCTTCAGACTTGCTGTTCGCTGGACATGGGAAACACTCCTGCTGTCGAGAAGACATCTTATACGTGCCCGGAGGACAGGCTGGAGAGAGAAACACACAGCAAAGACCTGTCACAACAAAACCTGGAGCTTACAGAAGTATTCAATACAAGCCTGAACAATGGCATCACTTACAACCTGAGGCCAGAACAGGCTAGAAGGCTGTAGACCTTATTAGCCAACATGAAGGAACCACTTGGGAATATAATATGCTGGAGAACTGAGCCTCCAGGAACTAAAGCCTTTCTAACTAATGAGGTTTATAATACACATGATTAACGGGCTATTCGTCGCCTTTACGAACAGTAAGTGATGGAAGCTCTCGCTCATAAAACAGTAGAGGAGACACTCGAGCAAAAATCAAACGCAAGTTCACTATGGCCACTGTAGGAACGAAAAGTAAGAGCGTAAGGATGTATCCTCAATCATCTCACTGAGAAAATCAACACCTGGAGTTCACTGGACCAAACTTAAAAAACATGAAACAGTATATAGTTAAAATTTGTTGCTTGCAAAAAAAAAAAAAAAAAAAATATATATATATATATATATATATATATATATATGAAGAGTTCAGATGCAAAAGCATCTAAATGCCATTTGAAATTTTCTTCTTTAATGATGATTTTTATCAAACTTATATATTTAAGTTCAGTAATTTCACTTAAATAACAATTAATAGGTAATTATCATTGCCATTTAAGTGAAATCACTGAACTTAAATATACAGGCTTGATAAAAATTATCATTCTAGAAGAAAATTGCAAATGGAACTTAGAGGCTTTTGCATCTGAACTCTTCATATATATATATATATATATATATATATATAAATAAAATCTGCATATAAACCAAATGGTGCAGTTACAGCATCTACCAGCAGGGGCTAACCGGATCATGCTAACTGGGTTATGCTAACCAGCAAATTGCTGATCCCTGTAGAAGGTGCTATATTTGCATGCAAATTCCCCAAGGTCATTGTTAAGAGTATCATATGTAAATGATTACACTCAGCAACATCCATCCATTCATTTGCCAATCCCCCAATTTCATTTCCAGTCATTATACAATCCCCTCATCATTGCCTCAGTGCGCTGACAGGGTCATAAAAACAATTCTCTGGAAAACATGCAGTGAATATGCACATGGATACACAGAGATGCACACAGTGACCTAAGCAGCGTACATACACACACACACACACACACACACACACACCTGTTTTCCAGCAGGGCAAGCAAAATCGAAGAGACAAAGGGAAAAACGGCAAATGGAATAAGGAATATAAAAGCGCAGATAACTCAAAACACACACAGATACACACCAAAACACAAGAACATCTCAGTGTATGAAATATGAAAGCAAAGTTCATGGCTTGTCGAGTTAATTCCTGCAAACAGCTCTAATAGAAAGTGTGTTATTAGACCTGTGTTTGTGTTTGCTGCTGGACTGTGATGTGCGGCCAAACACATTGAAGGGAATGAGATCACAACCCGTATCTGCTGACATTACACACACGTTCCCAGGGTCTCGAAATTAATTGTGTAATTCCACAACAGACCAGCTGGCTAAATGTGGATCAATTCATCTAATGTGACATCAGCAGGGGTTGATGAACAGGCACCAGAGATGATCGGCTCTGACGTCCAAGATTATAATATCTAAAGCCAGATATCTGAAGGGAAAGGAGGCGTGGATTACGTTTTCAGATATATACAAGTATACAAGAATTCTCAGCCTAACTTTATGCCTGGTTTTATTACCTGAAATCATGCACCACTTTAACTCCAATGGAGAACAAACAAATCATTTAAATTTGTTCATTTAGCAGGCACTTATATCCAAAGCGACTCACAAATGAGACTAATAGAAACAGAAACATTTAATTCAAGACAGAACACAACACAGGTAGTGTGACCTATACAATTTCCATAAGAAAGATTAAAATAAATGTGCAGAAAGAGTTTATTAGTCCATGTAAGTTCAAGAAGAAAAAAAAAAACACTGGACATAAAATCTGAAGTCTTTGTCTCTCGCAGAAACATATCTGCTTTAGTGTGAGCAATCAGATTTCGCTGAGGGTCTTCATAACCACCCAGCTCCTTCGAACACACATCAATAAATCATAAAGAACGAAATAGAGTAAACGTGAGTAATGAATTGTTTCATTGGCGCTCTGACAGGAGGTATTAATGAATATTAATAAGTTTAAAAAGACGTTTGCTTTGCTCTCCCTCTCTCGTCTCGACACAAATGGCCTTCATTATTTTCTGGCAATAATTCCATGCCGTCTTCTTTCCAAATGTCAGGCTAGATTTGCAAGCAGCTGTCAGGGAATCAATAATTCATGTCATCATATTCAGATCACTGCCTCAATGCTGCTAATTCCAATTTATGAAAGAATCCCTTGCGAATGGAATAAATCCACATAAATGAAGGAGTGAAAGGTCTACTTTAAAGGTCCTGCCTAGCGTATGCTCTTCATGCTCCTGTGACAGTTCAGACCGTTGGGTTTAGATGAGCTATAATCACCGTTCGGCTTCAGGTGACCCACGTGGTTCCCATGAAACTGAGCATTCGGTAACCGTGATTATGGTGACATTGATATGGCCTCTGCATTGATCAGAGACACAAAAGCTATTTTTTTTTCTAATTCTCAAATGTCACAAACAATCACCTTCAGTGGTCTGGTAACAGCAGCCAAATTAAAATATAATTGGGAACAGAAATTCATAGAGATTTTGGTGTGAGACATAAAACACCCGACCAATGTGAATTTTAATCACATAACAACAACCTAGCTTCCTGTGAGCGCAAGTAAAACCACTCACATTTCCCCCAATTATGGTTTACATGACAGCCATAAATCGCCTAAACTGGACAGAGTCCCTTTCAGGGGAAATTGGAGAGAGACAAAGGAGTAGATCTTACGGTGTCACGACTCTTTCTCTGAATGTCTGATATCTTTGATCCTCTGAACACACCTCAGTATTTTCACGATTTCATCTTCACTCTTTTTCTTTTGATCCTACTCTTATCCTCTTTCTAAGTCTCTTTCACTCACTCCCATTTTCCCCAAAATCCATCTTCTCGGACTCTCAAATTGAATTCTGCTTATCACTTCTAACTGAACAATAGAAGAACCAAGGACAAGAGTCAGAATTAGAGGATATTACGCTGCTTAATCCTAATCAGGACAAGAATAATCCGAACTCCTCCTCGTGGGGCTTGAATCCCAGCCGCCACTCACTCCCACTGATCAATCCTCATCAATGCACTTCTCAACACACAGATCTGTTATGGCTCAAATCAATGATCCTTGCTCACAGTCTTGGACTTTCTGGACATTTTGCACATTCACATTTTTCTTGCATTAGAGTTCTGTCAACCGTTGTTAGTTTGCACGCTTCCTTCATCAACAGATCTTGCACTGTGTTCTCCCTTCCTTCCCAATGAAAACACACGAGGTCACCCACCTCCAGAGGCTTCGAGGCAAGGATGACATCATCAAAAGCGTCCAACCAGCTAATGTTGGGGCTTTGTTTGCTTTCTGTCAACTCTGATGGATGGTTTCCATTTAGCCAAGTATGGAGGAGATTTGTAAATGTCCAGAGCTGAGCCTGAGCCCCTGATGGAGAGGCACGACGCTGAGCAGATCCAAGAGGAGTTCGGCATCGCTACATGTGTGCACGATGATCTCCTGTCACCAGAACTCGAGGATTCAGGTCATTGCGTTTACAGATCATAGACCACTTCATGTGTAATTTCTCACAGAAGGTCCTGGGGAACCTTGTTATACAGAGGTAGAACTACATAACGGCTGTGAGAGATTTAGCAGTGTTGTAGTACTCGAGACTCGGACTCGTCTCGGTCTCGAGACCATATTTTAATGGTCTTGGTCTTGTCATGGACTCGTGTGCATTTGGACTCGGAATTGACTCGGACTCGAACATTTTTTTTTAGGACTCGGACTTATTCCCGAGTCCACTCGAGTTCAATTCAAAATATTTTTCATGATTATTAATGTATGTTAATTAGGGCTGTCGCGGTAACCGCAATATTGTAGTAGCTACCGCGCTTCTGACAAGACAACCGCAGAGGATTGCACGTAACCGCAGCAACCGCGATATTCACGTTTTTTTTTATTTTTATAAGGCTATACCCTTCTTGTTTTGAACGTAATGCATGTGTATTGAATGTTAAACCAGTTCATAATTATAACAAGACTGTTTATCATGGTGATGTGTAGCCTACAGGCTTCACACAGATAGTGAATGAGAGAGATCGGCAGAGCGCGTGCGATTACCTGCCTCTGTCTTTGAAGTCGTGAAAAGCTTGTCGTGTCAAAGGGAAGCGAAATATTTGTTGCATCATCATTTTAACGTTCTCTTCACGTGTATTTTCCCATAAATGCGCGTCAGCAGCAGCGCTGTTCAACATCCCACAGCACAAGGAAGCCGAAATAAAATCAGTGAGTCACGCATTGAATCAATGGGTCTCTAATAAGTGAAGCATCAGCTTCAGCGTTGCCCATGCGACGCATTGCTGCTCAGCTGAGCCTTGAAAAGTTGAACATCAATGTTAGAAATAATTAACATATTGTTTCTTTACATCTCTTTAAATGAATCAGCTTTTTTAAACGTGTTCGTTGAATGAACGGTTCAATGACTCGCTCAAAGTCCGTTGTCATAACAATATGTGCGCTGAGTGAAAGTTTTTCAATGTGCATATACTGTAGACGCTGTTTAGTTTCGGTTACAATGCTTACTGAAAATGTCCTCGTTTTTGTCCACATCGTAAACTTTATTTATATAGCAACAAAAACATATAAATTAAGTAAATAAATGGCGGTAATACCGCATATCGCGCTATCCACTCAATATTACCGCAAGGGAAATTCCATAACCGCGACAGCCCTAATGTTAATAAAATATTTCTTTAAATTGATTGACACATCCAGTGATTGGTGATTTTCTAGTGCGCAACTGTGCATGACAAATTGTAATAAAATTACTTTTAACACCACCTACTATGTGG